TGCCTGGAGCACCCGACCTCAGGTACGAAGAATGCTTTAAAGCTGCTCAAGAGAGGAATCGACCATTCCACCCAGCGGCCCCTCCCAGCCAGGTCGACCCCTGTGACCCCGCCGCTCGACGTTCGTCGAGCTTCCTGGGCACAGGGCTTGCTGGACGTTTTGGCTGAACGAGGGGATCGTTTCTGGGAGGAGTAGTTGTTTTCTTTTTCGTGCAGGCCGTGAGAAGTGCTTCGTGTGGTTTCCAGGAGGCCTATGGGGCCCCTGTGAGACCCCCTTGGCGCGCGAGTGGTGGCAGCTCGGATTGTGGTGGTTCCCTCTAGGGGCCTCCGCCAAAGCAACGGAACGTGGCAAGAGGAGGAGGTGGAAGAAACGGAGGATGAGGAGGAGGGAGAGGAGGAGGAGGAGGAGAAGGAGGAGGAGAAGGAGGAGCAGGAGGAGGAGGGAGGAGGAGGAGGAGGGAGGACGGGTGGAGAGGGGGGTAGGAGGAGGAGGAGGAGGAGGAGGAGGGAGGAGGAGGAGAAAGAGAAAGAGAGGGAGAGGGATGATGATGACGATGATGATAATGATGATACTGATGATGATGATGATGATGATGATGATGATGATGGTGCTGATGATGATGATGATGATGATGGTGATGATGCTGATGATGACGATGAGGATGAGGATGATGATGACGATGGTGATGATGCTGATGGTGATGATGCTGATGATGCTGTTGATGACGGCGGTACTGGTTATGATGTTGACACTGCTGTCTGTGGTGATCCGGATGATGATGCTGATGATGATTATGTTGTTGATGATTTTGTTGATGATAATGATGCTGCTGATGGTAATGGTGATGCTGGGGGTGGTGATGATGATGGTGATGTTGGTGATGATGCCTATGCTGTTGTGGATGATGATTATGCGGGTGGTGATGGTGATGATGTTGCTGATGATGCTGATGATGATGATGCCGATGATGATGGTGATGATGAGTGTGATGCTGATGAGTATGATGATGATGGCGGTGGTGGTGATGGTGTTGATGATCATGATGACGATGATGATGAAGAAGATGATGTTGCTATTGATGACGATGATGATGATGATGATGATGATGATGATGATGATGATGATGATGATGATGATGGTGATGGTGATGGTGATGGTGATGGTGATGGTGATGGTGATGGTGATGTTGATCATGATGAGGAGGAGGATAATTTTAGGAGGAGTAGGAGGATAATGATGAGGACAAGGAGGAGGAGGAACAGGAGGAGGATGATGGTGATGATGAGGAGAATGCGGAGGAGGGGGACGAGTACAAGGGGTAGGAGGGAAGGGGCGGTGGAAGGGGGAGGAGGAAGAGGAACTTTGCATCGCCCTGGGGCTAAGCTAAGAAGGAGTGGGTTGCAGGAGGAAGGAGGAAGAAGCTTGGAGCCATCTTGAAAACTCTTGGGGTGTTATTGGTAGGGCTTTTGGGGCCCGTAGCCATCATTGGGCTGCCTTGAGCTATTTTCCGTGTTCGGAAACCCATGGGAGGCGAAAGGGCCAGACGACAAAAACATTGAACAATTGTAGATTCTTAGACGATGTCGACCTCACGGGGCATCCTTGGACGGCTCTCTGGCCACTTCTGGCCGTGTTGTGGCGATTTTTGGCCCTCTTGGAAGCATGCTGGAGGTCATTTTTTGAAAAGTAATTTCGGCTGCCTGGTTCCATCTGGGGCCAGATTGGACGCTCTTATCGCTCGCGGCCCCTCCGTCCGGACCTAAGGGGAAGACTTTCCCTGACGTGATGTAGGAGGAGGCCCCCCAGGGGAGAAAAGTTAATCCAAGAGAGAAGCCCCCCCCGAAGCACCGACGCCTTGACAGCGGGTAGGATCAGGGCCGCGCACTTCTCCGAGGCAGCTTGAGGAGGAGCGCGGCTAGGACGAGGAGAAATCCGGTCCAGAGCGTTCTGGAAGGCACTGAGAGAGCCGCGACGCCCCATACGTCCTCCAGAGCCGCCGGATCTCAGAGATTCTCGATCTACCCCCACCCGAACTTGTCCTCGCCCTGGCTTCGTCGACGGTGAGGACGAGCGGCGTGGCCCTCAGCGCCAGGGCTCGAAGAAGAAGAAGAAGAAAACCACACAGACAGAAACTTTTGGCGCTCCGCGCGGAGTTCTTGGATCCGCGCCTGGGCCCCCCTGGCGCACTCCGCGCCTCCGCGCGCCAGGGAGGGGGGTCCAGCGCGAATCCAAGAAATCCGCGCGGAGCGCCAAAAGTTTCTGCTTGCGTGTTTTGTTTCTTCTTCGAAGGGCGGAGGGTGCAGGCGGCGATGCGGAGCAGCGGGCCCGCCGCCGACGCCAGGACGGCGCGCGCTCTCTCCTCGCCGCCTCCTCGCCGCCGCTGCGCCGCGGGGCACCGTCCCCGCCCTGCTGCGCGCGAGGGGGAGGGGGGGGGGGCTCGAGGCGGGGGCGCATCCTCGGGCCCTCCTCCTCCTCCTCCTCCTCCTCCTCCTCCTCCTCTTCCTCCTCCTCCTCCTCCTCCTCCTTCCCCTCCTCCTCCTCTTCCTCCTCCTCCTCCTCACCACCAGCAGCCGCAGCGGGACTGTCACTCGTTGCTTCTTTCCGCTCCTGCTCCTCCTCTTCTTCTGCCGCCGCCTGAGCGATCGACCTTCCGGACGTCCTGGATGCGCTGGCTGGGACATGGGTGTGTCGGGGGCGGCAAAGAGGGGGGTGATGACGAGTGTGGGGGGGGATATCATGTCGGGGGCCATGGTGTCTCTCCAGTTTTGAACGCGTCCCTTTCTATTTCACTGCGTCCCCGGCCAGCCCCCCGCCCCCTGGGCCGCGCACGTGCCGCCGGCCATGATTTGCGCCCCCCCCCTCTTGGACGTCCCCCTCTTGGCCGCCCCCGAGTGTGGGCATGCATCTGCATCCGTGTGTGGTTGTCTTCCGATGGGTGTACGTATGTGGCATGCGGATGCGGACATGGATATGGATACGGAGTGGAGCACGGGCAGAGCACGGGTTCTGGATGCACGGGTTCATGAAGCCGCGTTCCTTTCGGTGGAGCACGGGTTCATGATGCAGCTCTTCGAGCAAGCGGGGGGGCAAGACTGGCTTCTCCGTTACCCCCGCGCGCTTTACACCGACAACATTTGCAGGATCGCATTGGATGGGCGCGGCACGAGGGCGTCACGGCGACGCGAGGGGTACGACAGGGCTGCCCTTTGTGCCCCCTCTTGCTGGCGGCGTGTGCGGACCTGCTGATGCGCATTGGCCGCCACTGTCATGCCCTTGTCTGGGCCTATGCGGGCGACACGGCCATGTTCCTCTACGACGGTCTGCAGTCGGTCGCGGTTCTGGCAAGCATCTTCGACGACTTTGTGCGTTGTTCAGAGTTGAAGCCGAACGTCGAGAAGACGGTGGTGGCGCCCGTGGGCGCGCAGGTCCTCGTGCAGCTTCGCGTTGCCATCGCGGAGCGGGCGCCAGCTTTGGGGCAGCTGGGCTTGGCGCGGCAGGCCCGGTACCTCGGCTTCACCATGGGCCCCGGGCGCGGGGCTCTCTCTCGTCGGAGCGCGTGGAGCTCTGGCGCTCTCTCGGTGCGGGACATGGGTCACCATGGACGCATACCCGTTCTACGCCCTGAGCGTGCTCCTCTTCGTCGCGCAGCTGGAATGGGTCCCCGCGAAGGCGCGCGCCCAGGAGGAGAGGGCTCTCCAGCGACTGGTGCCTGGGCCCGCGGACTGGATGCCGTCGAATGTCCTCCAGGCCCTCGCGGAGCACGGCCTGACGACCGAGGTTCGGGGGCGCCCCACCCTTCCTGTTCGGCGTCGGCCCCGACGACCTCCAAACGAAGAGGAGTTGGCAGCGGCAGGCGGCGCAGATCTTGCGGCCCGCTCCTGGCGCCGCAGTGGCACGTGCTCGCAGGAGGCTGGGCCAGTGGCCGCTGTGATTCCGGTTCCGGGACCGCCTCGCGCAGCTGGTGAATGTGGGGCGGCTGCTCAGCGCCCGCGGCACGCCTCGCGTCGCCGCGGGGTTCCTCCGAGTTGAACTGTCATGGACGGTTGGCCCGCTTTGTACCCTCCATTGCGGCGGCGGGACTGATTGTATAGAGCCTTGCGCCCCGTGCGAAGTCTACCACGCGTTCTGTCGAAAGCGCGCGAGGTTGGAGACTCCTGCGGGCAGGGAGAGCGAGCTAGGGTGTTTTCGACATGTGTTGCTTTCTCAGGGCGCGGCTGGGGTCGGGAGTAGCGCCGAGCAGTGCACCCTCTTTCGAGGCCTCACAGTGCGCGCGGCCTGGAGGGCGCAAGCCGTGGTGCGGACTGGATCGCTCCGGCGGCGTAACGCCCCTGACGCGCTAGTTTCGTTTTGAAGGGAGGGCGTGAAGGGGGCACGCGCTGCTGGGCCGCCCACGCGGGGACGCGACTGCGCGTTTCAGCCGTCTTTGTTCCCCCCCCCCTCTCCTCCCTCTGTCTGGGCGTCCGTCCCCTGCTTCCGTTCTAGTCTGTGCTGCTCGCTGATTTCTCAGGCCCACATCGCCTTGGCTGGAGCCGGGGGGTCCATTTTGTTAAGTTGCAGCCCGCTCATTCTGGACATTCGCGTCGGACACCTTGCGTGCAGCTGCCTTCCCCGCGTGGCCACATGCAGGGGCCAGGAGGTGCGACCCTGTCCCCGCCGCGCGGCCGATACCCTTCCCGCCAGGGTGTTGCCCGAGTGCCGTGCACCACGCGCACTGGCGGCAACCACCGTGTGCTCCGCGGTGGATGCGCCCTCCTGGCTACCTGGTACCTGGTCCCGTTTTTCCCCCTCCCTCTCGCCTCCGTCCTTCCTCAGCCAGTCTCGTCCTCGCTCTCCCCCGGCTGCTGGAGCTCAAATTGTTGATTTTCGACGCTGTTTGACCGTCTAGCCCCGGGGGGGGGGGCAAAGTATCGAATCCCCCCCCCCCCCCCCCCGGGCGACGGCGCGTGGCGCGCGGCGGAGCCACTGCGGTCGGCGTGGGTGGCCTTCTTCCTGTCCTCCCTCCCCTTCCTTCCTGATTGCCGGCTGTACCGGTGTATGCTCGCTTCAGCAGTCGTCGGCTTTCGCCATGCCGGCCGAGTGGGCGGTGCCAGATTGATGCGAGGACGCATCGCTCTGCTAAGAGTGCGTCCTCTTTTCTCCCTCCTCCTCCTCCTCCTTCACCGTCCCTCTTTTCCATGGTGTTCGGTGGGACTTCAAGTTTACGTGGTCAGCCACGGAGCTTGTGTCCATACATCGTGGTGTAACGCTGCAGTTTTGCCAGGGCCCCATTCCATGGGTGCGCGCAGCGGCTCGCCTACGGCAGGTTGGCCTGCGCCGCCCCAGGTGATTTGGATTGTTTCTCCGCCTCCTCCTCCTCCTCCTCCTCCTCCTCCTCCTCCTCATCATCATCATCATCATCATCATCATCATCATCATCATCATCATCATCATCATCATCATCATCATCATCATCATCATCCGCTCTCCCCCTTCCTTGCGGCTGCTTCCCCCGAGCCAGGCTCGGGTGAGCCTGGCGCGCAGCTTAATACTTGCCTGATTGCCTGTTCCTCTCCCCAGCCCCGGGGCCGTTGAAGGATTCTGGCTGGTTGAGTTGCGCTGAATATATCCCCCCTGAGGGGCAGCGGATCGGGCGGTCTTCGCGCAGGGGAGACATGAATGAGGATACGGGTTCTACTTCGTGGATATGGAGGTATGTCTGGCCGCCCTTAAGGGTCCGACTGCATCCAGGTCCACCGCCTGCCGAGGTCCCCGAAGATCGATCTGCCAGGCATCGGTCATGGATACACCCACGCCTCGCAGGCAGGGGGGAGGGTGTGGTTATGGGCGGGGGACGAGGAGGATGGGAACGGGAAGAAGGGTGGGGGGAGATTGGAACGCAAAGAGGGGCTGGCACGAGGCGGTGGAGTTGGGTATCTTCGGCCCTCGTTGCCGGGGGCCCACGTGTACATCCATGTCCACCGCCCCACGGGGTTCAAGGAGATCGGCCTCGCGGAGTCGATTCGGGGCCGTTGCAGCCCGATCCGACGCACTGATCCGGCCCTGACTCGCGATCGCGAGTCTGATCGACCCCCGCCGCTGGGCTCGAGCTGCTGCAGCGGTCGGCGCCACCCCGTGCTGCGGATCGCCCCGCCCCGCCACTGATTGGCAGCGTGCACGAGGGGCTGGCGCGAGGGAGCTCAGGTTTGGGGATCGAGGTTTGCCCGTCTGCGTCGGTTCTCGGCTGCACGTTTTCAGCCTCAGGATGCTTTCCAGCAGGGGGGCCTCGCCGAGAGCGCTCCGTGGGCGACGAATCGTCCCGAGCCTAGCTATGACGTGCAGGCCAGGCGCGCGTGGGAGGAGATTCTAAGAAGGCGAGGGGGCCTCTGAGCAGGCGGGTGGGTGTGCTTATTGGAAGCCCTCCCAGCTTCTTTGGAGGCCTCTCGAAAGCCTCTGTTCGGGGGCGTCCATGAGGGGTGTGAGGACAAGGTGTGTGTGTGTGTATGTGCTTTGTGTGCGCGCGCGCGCCGCCACTCACCTCGACGAGGGAACGGATATATGCACCACGTCATTTGGTCGGCCAAGGAGCCAAGGAGCCATCCGGCGCAGGATTTGGTGTAGATGCGCTCTAGCGGCCCACGGGTTGGGCAGATGGGGCGTCTATGCACCGAGCTGTTTGGCCGACCAAACGACGCGGTGTATACATCGGGCCCTCCCACCCTGCCCCCCCTCACCACTTTCGCTGCCTTGACGCGCCCGTTTTGAGACGCAGCACGTACCGTGCTCGGAACGTCCGTGCCAATACGTTGCGTGTCGGCTCGGCGCGTTGGGCCACTGCTCAGAACGAACCTGCCGCGTCATACCTGCGCTTTCCGTCTGCGTGTTGAGCTCTGTATCAATATACGCTACGCGTGGCGTGCTGCACGTAGGGGCAGCTGAGCTCACCGCATTCCCCCCCCCCCCCATCACTTGAACGAAGGATTGCAAAAAACCCAAGGATTGCAAGAAGGACAGCAACAAAAACCCTTCGAAGGATTGCCAAAAAACCCTTCGAAGGTTTTTTTTGCAATCCTTCGAAGAAGGGTTTTTTTGCAATCATTCCCCTCGCGCCCCTGCGCGCGTGGCCTGGTCGGCTCCCTCCCGGGCAGATCCCTGGCCCGCCCGCCGCGGGAGCCGCCCCGGCCGGGCGCTCGCTCCCCCCGACGGGCCCCGAGCCGCGCCGCTGACGCGCGCGGCCGCAGCGCCAAACCGTTGCTGCGTGCGCGGACACATCTCAGGGCCGAGGTCGTGAGATGTCCCGGGTGCTGTTGCCCCCGCTTCTTCTTCTTCTTCTTCTTCTTCTTCTTCGTCTTTTTTCAGAGCATCCTTCTTCTTCCAATTCCCTGGGGCCCCCCTCGTCCGAGCACGTGCCTCGGGCCACGACGTGCGGAATTCGCTCCTCCTGAACCCCCTCTTCGGCCCACTCGTTCTAAGGACGCCCCACCCTCTCAGAAGGCCGCCCCCTTCGGACCACCCCCTCGTGCACATCGCCAACCTGCGCCGGCGCCAGAGCGATGGGCATCTTCGGGAGCAAGGCCAGGACCCGTGCCGCGGAGAGAGGGGCCACGAGGGAAGTCCGAGGTGGAAGAGATATACCGAGGCCGATGCCAGTCCCTCGCTGCCGCGGCTGGACTGACCCGAGGAACCTGGTCATCCAGACCCTTTTCGTCGTGAAAAAACTGCGACGGACATGCGTTTTGCTGTCTTGTTATTTTCTGCCTCTGGGGTCCCTCAGCGGGCCTTGGGATCGCCAAACAGCGGCCTGGGATGAGAAGCGGGTCCCGGAGAAATGGTCGAGATGCTTGGGGGTCGACGTTGTGAACAAACATCGCGACATAGACTCCGGGAGAGGTTCGGGGAATGGCGGTATCGGAATCTCCTTTCCTCTCCCTGCAAGAGGAGTTCAGCAGGTCTCGTCGCCGCTATCACGGTTGCCCTCTTCTGGGCCTTGGGTTTTCGGGTTCAGAACATCTGCTCAGGATGAACCAGAGATCCCATGTACAGTTGACACGTCAAATGAGAAATCGGCCTGTCAGCATGTGCCTGTGGAAGTTTCGCATTCCCCCGATGGCCGTGGAGACCCACAGAAGCTCTGAGGCACCCTGAGACCCTCAACAATCCACAACTAATGTGCCCCGAGATTTCTACGAGCAGTGCTTCTTACCGCATGTGTCTATTACTGCGTCGTTTCTGTTTTGTTCCACATATCCTGAGATGGGGTTCTTGTTATTAGTTACTATGACGCCGCCGACTCCTCAGTCAGGCCTCCTCCCCTTCTCGTCTCCTCCTATTTTGATTCGTCCATATCCAGGTTCCTTCGCACTCATACTATTCAGCATTGTTCACATTCAGACTCACTCATACTCATATTCTCTCGGAGGTTTGGTGGCCGACATCTTCCTCTTTCGGAGCAGATTTGGAGGATGTCTCGAGCGAGGCGCTCATTTACGCCTCCAAGGGGGAGCCGCCAGAGGGGTATTGCAATCGTCCGTTCGCGCCAAACCAGCGGGAGTGTCTCGAGCGGTTTGCCTGGTTTGGTGGCCGACGTCCTCCTCGTTCGGAGCAGATTTGGAGGACGTCTCGACCGAGGCGCTCATTTTCGCCTCCAAGGGGGAGCCGCCAGAGGGGTATTGCACTCTTCCGTTCGTGCCAAAATGGCGGGGATGTCTCCAGCGGTTTGCCTGTTTCGGTGCCCGACATCTTCCGCATTTAGAGCAGTTTCCGAGGATGTCTCAGGCGAGGCGCTGGTTCCAGTACTTCCAAGGGGGAGCGCCAGGGAGTATATCATAGGCCCGTTCGCGCCCACATTGGGGGGATGTCTCCGGCAGTTTCTTTGTTTGGGTGCCCAACATTCTTCTCTTTCGGAGCAGTTTCCGAGGATGTCTCAAGCGAAGCGCTGGTTTCAGCACCCCCAAGGGGGGCGCCAGGGGGTATATCACAGGCCCGTGCGCGCCCAGATTGGGAGGATGTCTCAGGCGGTTTGCCTGTTTGGGTGCTGAACACCCTTGTCTTTCGGAACAGTTTCCGAGGATGCCTCAGGCGAGGCTCTAGTTTCAGCACTCCCAAGGGGGGGCGCCAGGGGGTATTGCACGGGCCCGTTCTCGTCTTCACGGATGAAGACAAATAGGAGAATGAGGAGGAGGAGAAGCAGGAGGAGGATGTAAGGAGGAAGCATCAAGTTAAAGTCGTCGTAGTCGTTGGCGTCTCTCTCGGCCTCATTTTTGCACGTGGATTCGCTGACACTCGGAGATTGACAAGGACAATGTCTCCTACCGAAGTTTGCCACCACTGTGAGATGCACATCTGGAGATCTCCGCGTCGAGTCACTGCCGGAGTCCCCACGTGTCCCGACCTCCTCCCGGGACCAGCTTCTCATCTCGAGCCTTCCTGTTGACGGTGCCCGGGGGCCCCGCGAGGGGCCCCCGGAGGCCGGCCGCGGGCAGGCATGCCCGACGCGTGCTCTCGCAGTGCGGTGGGCGTCGGGACATCCGGCACGACAGCGGCGGGCGCCTGAAGAAAGCCCCGGGGGCGGAGGGTTTCTCCGAAGGGCTCAGGCGACCCGGTCTCCTCCTCCTCCTCCCCCTCCTCCTCCTCCTCCTCCTCCTCCTCCTCCTCCTCCTCCTCCTCCTCCTCCTCCTCCTCCTCGGGTCGCCTGCGGCCCCGGGGGAAGCCGTTCCCCGTGCACCTCAGGGGGACCCCGGGGCCCGTCTCGCTCCTTCAGGCCAGAGAGGCGGCGGCGTCCGAGGAGGCGCCCGCTGGCGGCCTCGAGGAGCTCTTCGGCACGGAGCTCCTGACCAAAGAGGGGCCCAAGAAGACCTCTGAGGTTCGAGTCGTCGTCCTCCTCCTCCTCCTCGTCCTCCTCCTCCTCGTCCTCCTCCTCCTCCTCCTCCTACTACTACTACTACTGCTCCTCCTCCCTCCTCCTCCGAGGTTCGAGTCGGAGATCGACTGCAAAATTGATTCCCCAATCAGTGCTTGCACTGGAGGGGTCCTAACGGAAATTGAAAGATATGATTCGGCAAAAGTTTCCCACCGATCTTGGTGGCCGGCTGGGTTCCCGGGTTCCTTGTTCCGGGTTCCTGGGTTCCTGGTGATTGTCTCTGGGCCGATTTCGGTGGGTTCCAGGTTCCCGGGTTCCCGGTCGATCTCCTTTCTACCGGAACCATCCATTGATTGGTGTCTCTCTCTCTGGTGTAATGATGTACCCCAGACTTGAGAGTTTCGTCGACCATACCCAAACATTCCACATACTGTTTGTGGATTCGGCTGGTAAATCAATTTAGGGGGGTACGTCGATTCTGTGGTCGATCTCCTGCTCGAGAGGTCCTCGGCGGGAAGCGGGCGGTGCTGGTCTACTTCTCCGCCCACTGGTGCCCGCCGTGCCGCGGCTTCACGCCGGTGCTGGCGCAGGCGCTGTCTCACTACTATCCTTAAGTCGGGCCTGCCCCTCTACAGGAGGAATACTCAAAAATAGTCAACAATAGCCTGGGGACGATTCTTGGACTATTTTTGAATATTTTTGGAGTATGTTCTGGGTATTTTTTATTTTTCGTCCAAGATCCGCCTGGGGGACATGCCCGAGCTAATACTACCCACCGAACCATCCCAACCCAATCCGAAGGGCCCAAGCTACCCTCCATTCCCAGTGGGGTGGGGTATCCCGAAACAGTGGAAAACACCAATGTGACCGAACCCGTTCGCCCCTCAATCCGAAATTTGGGATTTAGAGTTGTGTTGAGGTGGTCTGGTAGGTAGTCACCTTATGGGCCCCGGCAGCGGCAGGGCCGTTTTCTGTACCGTTTCCGAGAGATTGGCGCCTGAATGTGAACGCGCCACGAAAGCAGCACACCGAAACGAGACAGAAACAGCGGCGCCCGATTCGGAGCTGGAGCCAGCACAGAAACTAAGCCGGAAACGGAGGCACTCGCCGAAGTCAAGTTGTTTCGAGCGATCCCCGCCCAAGAACGCCAGGCGGCACACCAGGGAGCTCCGCACACGTTGGGCCCGGCGGCCGCGGCATGCCGACGCCAGACGTCGAAGGCTTGAGGCGGGATGCCCAGGGAGCACCCGCACACGTCGGGCCTGGCGGCCGCGGTGTGCAGGGTGTGCGATGCGGGCCAGGCATGCCCTGGCATGCCCAGGGCCCGCAACACAGCACAGGCGTACGAGGCCCACTCGCAGGGCGACGTCGCGGTGGTGTTCGTCTCCGCCGACCAAACGCAGCCCCAGTTCGAGTCGTATTTCGGGTCCATGCCGTGGTGCGCGCTGCCGTTCAGCGCGGGCAAGATCAAGAGCAAGCTGAACACCATGTACGGAGCTCGAACGAGAAAGCACTGAATAACTAGGCGTAAGCTGCCGGAGCTCCGTGCGGGGGGGCGCGGTGTCATTTCCCGCTCCGCCCCTGCCGCGCGCCAGGCAGGGGGGGGGTCCAGTGCCGATCCAAGAAATCCGCGCGGACCTCCGACAGCTTCTGCTTACCCATCGGTCGTTGAAAGTAGGTATTTGGGGATGTCCAGACACCAATCTACTTGAAGCGCCTTCCTGATTCAATGATCGAGTGGCTTCACCTTTTCCGTCCTCAGGGGGCGGACGGAACCCAATATATTTTCAACGCCTTTCTATTTCATGTTTCTACCTGTTTCTTCCGACCGATGGGTGTACCGCCTTGGTTTCCTTTAGGAGTGAGGGGTATCCCCGCGCTGGTCGTCCTGGACGGCACGGGGAAAAAGGTCAGCGACAACGGGCGTGGGGAGGTGCAGCAGACGAAGAGCTTGGCCAAGGCCCTGGAGGCCTGGAACCTCTGAGCTCCTGGCGGCTTAGGAGGAGAACAAGGAAGGGCTCAACATCAGGAAGAGGAAGATGAGGAAGGAGGGGGGGTACATGTCTTGATGCTTTCACATCTATGTGACTGGAGGAGGGGGGGTACTTGGGTCACCGCGGAGGTTGCTGCATTGATATGGGGCTTTCACTGGATGTCAAGGTGGAGTGTATCTGGCCGAACCTTGGTTTCCAAGTGATCAATAGTGCCTCAGTGGCTTGATATCTGGGCTAAGTGGGATGCGCCACTTTAGCAGAGTTGTCGAGCCCACCTGAGCAATTCGGGGCACCTGTAACCCACTTATAAGGCAGCTTCCGCTATATAGAAACCACCTCAGCATCCACTTATACGACCCTATCCACTTAGCAACCCTCGAGGTGATCGACGTAGGAGGAGGAGCAGGACCCTGAGATCGGACATTGCAAATCATCGCAAAGACTCACGACTGGAGCCCTGGACCCCAACTTACTGAGTCATTTTTCGAGTCGGTTCGATTTGTGAAAGGCCCGGGGCCCGAAACCGAGCGAAAACGCATATTGCGAGAAAGTTGTATCGCCAGGATCTCGGGGGAGGAGCAGGGCGGATGGGGCTGAGAAGGCCGCGGCGCCCGAGACATCCTCCAGAGCCGCCAGATCCCAGAGATTCTCGATGTATCTTCACCCGATGT